GCAGTGACCATTTATCAACAGAGAGTCTTTTCTGTGAGTGTTATTTGTCAAAGTTATCTTACAGAAGAGGTTAAGGGCCACTGGCCTGCTGGAAACTATCAGGGTATAATACCATGTGCTGCAGTGGACTATTCACACGGAGCAGGATGTGAACATAGAGGAAAGGCACCAACACTGGGTGCTGCAGAGTGAGCTGACCCTCTGAAAAGGTGAGGAGCATTGCCAAGTAGGAGAGAAGGAGGCTGGATGTTGAGTGGTGGTCCTCTTGGCTTTGGATGGGTTTAGGATGTCCCTCTACCCTAACTTCTGAAAAAAAATTGCTGTTTATAACTGGAAGTTTATTTTGTAGACTCCAAATCTCTCGCAAACAAATACTGATGGATCCCAGAAGGAAACAAGCAGGTTGGAGAAGGCCAGGCCCCCAGAGGTCAGGTGGAAGCAGCAGGGTGGCAGCCGGCATGGAATGCAGGGAAACACACGCACTGCCTTGGGGGACTCAAACATTAAAGGGAGAAGTGCAGGCGCGTTTACTTTGGAAAGTGCAAAGGTTTCCATCTGGGCAAAGTAATCTGAGACCCAGGCCTGGGGTGAAGGGGTGCGACAGGAAGGCTTGGAAAACGATAACCCTAAAGATACTGAAGGTGAAATGTGAAAGGCAACCTGGAGTGAAGTAGGCAATGCAATACGGATGCTTTCAGAGAAGTGTCCTTCTCCCTGGGGCTGCTGCAGGGCTGATGGAGGATCACGAGCCCTGTGAAACCAGGCCTGGCCAGGTGCAACCATTACGTGCAGCCTTTCCAAAGGAGTCGTTAAAACATTCTGGGCTAGAAAAGAGTCAAGGTTGGGAGGGAAGCAGTCCACTTTTACCTGGAGTTCTGAGTTCAGAGAGGAAAGACTATTTTGGATCTCACCCAGGGGTGTTGAGGATTGACCTCGCATTTTATACCACCACCGCTTTGTAAAATATTCTCTTGTGACATTACCCTGAGCCCTGAACCGTGAGCCTCAGTTGATGCAGCCCTTGTGGTAGTGGTCTCTGTGAGTGTTCAGCAAGAGATGTCCTTGTGGAGGTGAGGAAGGCCCGTGGAAGCTATGGAAAGGCTGAAAAAGCTAGTCTCAGCCATGGGTCCCTCCCCCATGCCTGGGTCCCTACTGAGTGATGGTTCTCAACTGCTGTGCCTTAGAATCACTTGATTATCTGAAGTAATTGGTCTGAAAAAGGGCCAGGTATAAATATTCTTTAAGAACACCCCAGGAGATTCGGATGCCTAGCTGGGATCGGGCTGGACTGTCATAGAATCACCCTGGCAGGGTTCAGGGAGAGGCATCCCCTCACCACCTCTCAGGCCGGGCTCCTAGACTTGGTCAAGGGTATTTTTGTTTACAGGGAGGGAAAGCAAGACTATGTAAGGAAGGAAAGCAATGGTTTATTCATGTACATTTATGTATGCCCCACCTCATTTCGTGAAGAGTTGGGAGGGAACTGATGGGGGTATTGGGGTAAGTAAGGGTTGAGGGAGAGTCCTCTTTTAAGATGAGACTTACTCACACAGGTGTGTATGGGTCAGCTACAAACAATGTCAACAGAGTGTCCCAATGTCTCACTCTGCAGCACACCCAAAAGCTATTAACAGAAACACATTTTATAATGCTAACATATTGAATGACTCAACAGATACTTCAAAAGTGGGACCTAGAAAATGGGACTCTTAGTGTTGTCTAAGGAGCTTGTCAGTGTCTGGGGGTGCGCAGAAAGGCAATCTCAGCTAAGCAGAGCAGAAAGGCAATGTATGGGAGGAAGACCTGAGTCTTGAATCCTAAAGCTCAAAGTTTTAGAAACAATCAACATGTTTGAATATTTGGAATAACTAACAAGTGTGCAGCTGAAAGGGCCTTTGTCCACCAATTTTGATAGAGAGTTCGATGGCTAAAGTGGTGATATATATGCTGGTGGTTTATTTTTTAAATTTGTAAAAGTTATTCTTGGAGGATAATACTTGAGGAGATCCATGAGATTCATAAGAGGACACAGGAAAGTTAAATTAATTAATGGTAGTGTGCTTATTGTTTCCTAGGCCTTTGATAGTTAAGACACCAAAGACTCTCCTATAAACCCTTCTACATGAAAGACACTGCTTTGGGCTGCTCTTAGCTGATTGCCAAAGTCTCCTTCCTACAGATGCTGAGGAATGAACAGCTTATATCAACTGTAGGTTGTCCCAGATGAAAAAGAATGTTATCCCCACATGCAAGTCTGAGATCCTGTATTAAGCCAAACACTGATGATAGTTGCTACTGGAGACTTAGATATCCTCCCATGTGGAGATGGATTCTGAGATGCAAAAACCTATGGACCTGGCATTCCTCTTAAGTAATATTCATCCTTCCTTTGGGGCTCAGTCCAGGCTTGGTTTTCCCCATTCTGTGCTTCTCTCTCTTCCACTCCACACACACACACACACACACACACACACAAGCATCTCTAAAATGGTATGTGTGTTAGTAGAACTAGGAGTGGTTTTCCTGGAGAAGAACTGTCTCAGTCAAGTCTTTCTTCTTTTTTTACATTCAGTATTATTTGTATTAGTTTCAGGTGTGCAACATAGTGGTTAGACAATCATATACTCTACAAAGTGTTCTCCCTGATATTTCCAGTACCCAACTGGCACCATACATAATTATTCCAATATTATTGACTATATTCCATATGTTGTACTAAAACATCCCTATGACTTTCTGTAACTGCCAATATGTACTTCTTAATTCATCCACCTTTTTCACCTCATTCCCTAAATCCACCCTTCTCTGATAATCATCAGTCTGTTCTCTGTATCTATGGTTCTGTTTCTGTTTGTTCATTTATATTATTCTTTAGATACCACATATAAGTGAAATAATATGGTATTTGTCTTTCTTTGACTGACTTATTTCACTTAACATAATACCTTGTAGGTCCATCCATGCTGTTGCAAATGGTAAGGTTTCATTTTTTTAATGGCTGAGTAATATTCCATTGTATACATGTACCACAGCTTTTTAATTCACTTGCTTGTTGATGGGCACTTGGGTTGTTTCCATATCTTGGCTACTGTAAATAATGCTGCAATGAACATAGAGGTGCATATACTCTTTTGAAATGGTGATTTGGGTTTCTTCAGATATATACCCAGAAGTGGAATCTCTGAGTCATATCAGCCAAGTCTTGAGAGATGAATAGGAGTCGTCCAGATGAAACATTCAAAGGAGATGGCCCAGCAAGAAAGAGCACAGGGAGGATAAAAGAATATTGATTTGCCTGTATTGATAAGCCCTCCTGTCATCTGACTGCCTGGTGGACTGGCCTGCTGGGCTCCTAAAGACTTTCAACCAGCCCTTCATCAGTCCCGCACCCTTGGTGCATCTGGTGTTGTCAAGTCTGGAGCATTTTTAGTTCCCAAGATTTAAAATGTCCCCCTCCTCTGCTACTTCCCCACCCACAAAGCTCTGGAGGCCAGTCCCTCTCCTCTGTTACATCAGTGACCCTTCTTCTACTGCTTTCCAACTGCCAGAAGCTTTTGGAAATCTGTCTTTCACTGATGGCCTCTCTATTGTTTTCCTTGTCAGTGGGGTTTGTGCTTTCTGCCCTCCTTGTTTTCATTTCAGTGGGCTCTTTGAAGGGGGAAGGATAACTACATTTGGAGAGCTTTCCACTTTTAACAAAGATTCAGATGTATGTTGTGTTTCTTTAATATTTTCTGTATGAAAAAAACAACCCTTGATTTTAAAATGTTTTCTTTTTCTTTGTTTAAAGTATTTTTTCTTTTTAATTTTATTTTGTTACAGATATTTCTTCTTTTTTACCCCATTGACACCCTCCTCCCCATTTTCTTTATTGCTTTGAGAGAGGGGGGAAGGGAGAGAGAGAGAGAGAGAGAGAAACATTGATGAGCGAGAACATTGACTGGCCGCCTCCTGCATGCCCCGCACTGGGGATCGGGCCCACAACTTGGGCATGTGCCCTGACAGGGAATGGAACCGGCGACCTCTTGGTGCATGGGTCGACGCTCAACCACTGGGCCACACCAACTGTGCTAAAAATGATTTCTAATAGCCCAAATATTGTACATACATTTCCCAACATGCCCATCTATAATTAAGTCATTTATTTTACATATCATTCCACTTGCAAAATGCCCATAGAAAATAAAAGAACTCTACACATGATCAGAATAGCCCAGGTTAACACATATTGTCCCTTTTGAGTTCTCTACTTTCTAAATCCCCCAGAGAACTTTCTGGCGACTTGTGCACTGATTCTGTGCCTTTCATGGTGAGGTGTCCATCGATGTTTGCCATGGGGCTTGAACTTCCATGATGTCAGTCACTTGTGACCCTTGGTGGGTTGTTGTGATGATAAATAAGATCCTAGAGGAGAACAAATCAGAACAGAGCCCAGAACCCAGTTAGGCACTCAGAAATTTTTATTAACTATATACTTTATTATTTCTTATACTTTTCAAACAATGACACCAATTTCTCTTCCGTTTATTCCATGAATTGAGCCTGTGTGTGTCCACTTTAGGCACTGACAATTTTTAGGGATTATTTCTGACCCATCTAGTCCTCTCTTTCCTGCTGTGAGCATCTCATCATCTACCTAGTCACTCTAAGGAACTGTGTAATTGCCTAATTGGGTGTTTATCAGCAGGGAACAAGGAAGCCAAAGAAAGACTCAGTATTCTGCCCGGTGGTCAGTGACCGAGAGGCAGATCTTTCCCCCTGTCTCTCCCTTCTTAAGGTGATTGGAAACCCATCGATCCTGTAGCAGTGTGGATGTGGGGAATCTACCCTCCTTCCAGAGAGCCCTTATCCAGATTTACCTTTTAAACCTGCACATGTTTAACTTCACCTACATTTAGTTTCAGCAGCATTTCATTATATTTGGCGGTTGTGGCTGACTTGTGTGAGGCCACTCTGAGGCTGGCTCAGGCAACTGTCTTCCTTCCCTCGCCCTGTCACAGAAAGCGACCCCCAAGACATGCTCGCAGTTCAGCGCCGATGTGGCCGAGGCCATCATCTTCTTCGACTCCATCATCGCAGAGCTGGACACAGAGAAGCGGCCGCGCGCTGCTGAGACAGACCCCCCGAATGAGGACGTGGACTTTGATGGTGAGCGCCTTCCCTGGGGGCAGAAGTCGGTGGGGTGTGGTCTCTGCAGTGGACTGTTAGATGGGCGCTCAGAGCCTGGCCCTGAGCTCCAGCCTCTCTTGGGTGTGCCTTCGCAGTCTCTGCCGCCCCTCTGGCTCGCTGCCACAGCTGAGACACGGTGACACTTCTGTAAGATTCCATGAGGTGAAGCAACAGAAAAATGATGAAACAGAAGCATTAGATGGCGAGTTGTTAAATGGGTATAGAAATACAGTTTGGGTTTTGCAAGATGAAAAAATTCTGGAGATCTGTCATTTAACAATGCAAATGTACTCAACACTACTGAACTGTACACTAAAACATGGTTAAGGCGGTAAACTTTGTGTTATTTGTATTTTACCACATTTTTTTTTTTAAAGAAAGAAAAGAAGACAAACTGTATTTTAAAATTTAGCTTCTGTCCCTACCTGAGCTAGCTTGGCCCGAGGGAAACACCAGTGTGTTGGACACAACTCTGACCCTTCACCCACTTTGTCCTCCCTCTGCACCCCTCCCCTGGCTCTCCCTCTGTGGCCCTCCTGAGTCCCCACCCTGTAAGAACGTGTGGGGCGAGGGAAGGCCAGGGTGCTTGCCCAGGCCCAGCAAGGATCCCAGAGAGGGAGTGAGGTGAGGGCTGAGGTGATGCTTTTCCCCTTATCTAGGTGTGTCACGGGGGCTCTCTCCTGGCGGAGAGCAAAGCACTCAAATTCTGTTACTCAACTGTCAGTTTTTTAAATCTTTGACTTTGCTCCCACATAATATAATTAATGATGCTTTTGTTCAGGGCTTACTGAGGTATCAGTTTCTGGTACCAATATTAAATTATTCTTCAGTGTTTTATTTAATAATCAAAAGATTACATTCTTGTTGTCCTGGCCTTGATTGCCCTTCATTGTGAGATTTCTGTTCTCACTGACTCGGTGGAGTTTCACAGGTTACGCCTGCTCCCCAAGCTCACTGCACCCTGCAGGGTGGCTGCCTGGCCCCCTCTCTCACAGGCCCCTTCAGTCCCTGACAAAGAACAGCCCTGTCCCCAGGAGCTGAACCGAGGAATCCAGGACACTGGGGAGCGGGCAACAAAACCCACTGAGGATACAGCTGTCATCTTTGACAATAGAATTTTTTGAAAATGACTCTATGGTTTTTCTCTGATAACAACAGTAACATGTTGTAAATCAAATGGTTCAAACAACACATCAAAACATAAAAAATAAAGTAAAGAATATGATCTGTAATACTACCACCCAGAGATAACAATCACTGTTAACAATTTGGCCTATGTCCTTTCAAAAGATTTTAAACACAAATACAGACTCACTTTATTTTTTTTTTAAACAAAAATAGAATCTCTTGCCCTGGCCAGTTTGGCTCAGCGGTTAGAGTGTCAGCCTGCGGTCCGGAGAGACCCGGGTTCGGTTCCCGCTAAGGGCACATACTTCGGTTGCAGTTTGTCCCCGGCCCTGGTTGGTCGTGCGGGTGGCAGCCACTCGATGTGTCCCTTCACGTCGATGTTTCTCTCTCTCTCTCCCTTCCTCTCTCTCCCTCCCACTCTATCTGTACCAAAAATGGAAAAATATCCTCGGGTGAGGATTAAAAAAAAAAAAAAAAAAATAGAATCTCTTTGCTATTTTGTCATCTGTTCTTTTCACCTAAGAATTTATAACATATCAAGGGAATCTTTCCAAGTTAGCAAATATGGACCTATGTTCTTATTTTTATATATTTAAAAATTGATGTTAGAACCAGAGAGGAAGGGAGAGGGAGACAGAGATAGAAACATCAATGAGAGAGAAACATCCATTGGCCACCTCCTCATGCACCCCACTGGGGATCGAGCCCACACCCCGTGTCTGTGCCCTGACAGGGAATCAAACTGGAAACCTCTCGGTGCACAGGACAACACCCAACCAACTGAGCCGCACCGGTTAGGGCTGTGCGTTCTTATTTTTAATTGACACACCATTTTCCGTTGTAGTCCTACCCCATAATTACAGAGTCAGATCAGCTCCTTTGCTTGGTTCTCCAGTCCCTCGGAGGGATCTGCTGCTGTAGATGTGCATGTGTTACGAGTTTTCTGCCCGGTTCACTCTCTCCGTCGCCTTCTGCTCCTCCCAGTGGTGAGTCTCCTGCCCGGGCCCCTGCTTCTCTCTTGCAGTGGCCACCAGCTCCCGGGAGCACAGCTTGCACTCCAACTGGATCCTGCGGGTGCCGCGCCGGCACTCTGAGGACATGGCCGTGCACGCCGTGCACACGACAGATGGCCAGTTTCGAAGAAGCATGGAGCGCAGGACCATTGGCACTCAGAGGAGACTGGAGAGGCACCCCATTTACTTGCCCAAGGCTGTGGAAGGGGCATTCAGCACCTTGAAATTTAAGCCCAAAGCCTGCAAAAAAGAGTAAGTGCTTGGGCCACATAGTATAACCAAGATGTATTGATGTCCTCCAGACTCTTGGGATGGTTTTTAAGGTGCCTTGAGTCCCCATCCTACACACCAAAAGTTATTCTTGTGTATTTTTTTGGATGAGGTCTTAGTTTAATGTTTAAGTTGCATATGCCTCCTGGTTCACCGTTGTCACCACTCCTAACTGCCGTGTCAGCTCTGGGTCTGCTCCCTTCCCTCTGGCCCACAAGTCCTCATGCTGTGGGCTGTCCTCTCCCCTCGTTTCCTCAGTGCCGCTGTGTACTTACTACACATTCTTAGTGAGAGTTTGGGGTTGAAGAGGGCATGGAACCGAGAAAGAACCAACATCGAACCCATGAGAGGCCCCTGCCTTAGGCCAGCGCCTTAGCCCCAAGGCACTGGCCAGGCTCAGATGGAGAACTTGCTGCTGGACCCTTCGTGCCACCATTGTTTGGCTCCTTCTCTCCAGATCCTTCTCTCCTAAGACTAGTGACCATCAAGCCCCAGATTCCTTTGACGTGCTCTCTTGTCCTGGCCCACCCAGGCCACATGGGGACCCCCACCGTTCAGAGCAAAAAGGCCCATCCACACTCATCCACCTGTTTCTCTTTGCTTCTACGAGAGACTTTCAACTCTGATGGAATCAAGGATTTTGTTTTTCTCATTTAAAAAATTTTTTAAAAATTTTTATTTATTAATTTGTTTTTGTTAGAGATGTTTCTCATATTTCCCCCATTGAGACCCGTTGTCCCTTCACCCCCCACCCCCCACCCCATCCCCAGCTTGGTTGTCTATGTTCATTGGTCATGCATACATGCATGTAAGTTCTGTGGTTTATCTTTTCCTCGACAAACATCCCCTCCCCTGAGGCTTGTCAGCCTGTACCCCACCTCCATGTCTCTGGCTTAATTTTGTTCAGCAATTTGTTTAGTCCATTATATTCCACAAATAAGTGAGATCATGTGATATTTGTCTCTCTCTACTTGGCTTGTTTCGCTTAGCATAATATTCTTCAGGTCCTTCCATGCCATCTCAAAGGATAAGAGATCTTTCTTTCTTACAGCTGCATAGTATTCCATTGTGTACATGTACCACAGCTTTTTAATCCACTCATCTACTGATGGACAGTTGGGTTGTTTCCAGATCTTAGCTATTGTAAATAGTGCTGCTACGCACATGAGCATACATATATTCTTTCTGATTGATGTTTCAGGTTTCTTAGGGTATATTCCTAGAAGTGGGATTACTGGGTCAAATGGAAGTTAAATTTTTAATTTTTTGAGGTAACACCATATTGTTTTCCATGGTGGCTGCACCAATCTGCATTCCCACCAGCAGTGTACTAGAGTCCCCTTTTCTCCACACCCTTGACAATACTTGTTGTTTGATGATTTGTTGATGGTGGCCATTCTGATGGGTGTGAGGTGATACCTCATTGTTGTTTTAATTTGCATCTCTCTGATGATTAGTGATGTTGAGCATTTCTTCATATATCTCTTGGCCATTTGTATGTCCTGATTGGAGAAGTGTCTATTTAGGTCCTCTGCCCATTTTTTAATTGGGTTCTTTGTCTTCTTTTTGTTGAGTTGTATGAGCACTCTCTGTATATTGGAAATTAACCCCTTATCTGATGCACTGTTGGTGATTATGGTCTCCCATATAGTGGGATCCCTTTTTGTTTTGATGGTTCTTTTGCTGTGCAGAAGCTTTTGAGTTTGATGTAGTCCCATGTGTTCATTTTTCCTTTGTTTCTGTTGCCTTAGGTGTTGTATCAGTGAAAATTCTGTTGCATATGATGTCTGAAATTTTGTTGCCTACATTTTCTTCTAGAATTTTTATGGATTCATGAGTTACATTTAAGTCTTATCCATTTTGAGTTTATTCTTGTGTATGGTATAAGTTGGTGTTCTAGCTTCATTTTTTTGCATGTAGCTGTCCAATTTTCCCAACACCATATATTGAAGAGACTGTCTTGACTCCACTGCCAACTTTGTCAAATATTAATTGAGCATACTGTCTTGGCTTAATTTCTGGATTCTCTATTTCGTTCCATTGATCTATCTGCCTGTTCTTGTGCCAGTACCAGGCTGTTTGATTACAGTGGCTTTGTAGTATAACCTGAACTCTGGTAATGTGATTTCTCCTACTTTGTTCTTCTTTTTCAAGATTGTTGTGACTATTCAGGGACTTTTTTGGTTCCATATAAACTTTTGGAGTGTTGGTTCTAGTTCTGTGATGTATGTCGTTGGTATTTTGATGGGGATTACATTGAATCTATAGATTGCTTTGGGTAGTATGGACATTTTAATGATGTTAATTCTTTGAATCCATGAACAAGGTATATGCTTTCACTTTTTTATATCTTCCTCTATTTTTTTTTTTTTAATGACCTGTAGTTTTCTGTGAAGAGGTCCTTTACTTCTTTGGTTAAGTTTATTCCTAGGTATCTTAATTTATTTCCTGTGATGGTAAATGGGATTGTTTTTTAGTTTCTGTTTCTGTGATTTCATCATTGGTGTATAAGAATGTTGTCAATTTCTTGATGTTAATTTTGTATCCTGCTACTTTGCCAAATTTATTTTTTAAGTCTAGTCGATTTCTGATGGAGTCTTTAGGGTTTTCTATGTACAATATCATGTCATCTGCAAATAATAATAGTTTAACTTCCTCCTTTCCCTTTTGGATTTCCTTTATTTTTTCTTCATGTCTAATTACTGTGGCTAAGACTTCCAGTACTATGTTAAATAAGAGTGGTGAAAGTGGGCATCCCTGTCTTGTTCCCGTTTTTAAGGAGAATGCTTTTTGTTTTTTCCCATTGAGTATGATGTTGGCTGTAGGTCTTTCATATATGGCCTCTATTATGTTGGGATATGATCCCTCTATTCCCACATTGCTGAGCATTTTTATAAAAAATGGGTGCTGGATTTTGTCAAATGCTTTTTCAGCATCGATTGATATGATTATATGGTGTTTATCTTCCCTTTTGTTTATGTGGTTTATCACATTTATTGATTTGCTAATATTGTACCATCCTAGATTCAAGGATTTTCTAAATAGCATTTTCCTCCCATAATAATGAACCATGTACTGAACATATTGAAACCAAGACTCTACCCTCATCACCCACCCTGTCCTTCAAGCCCAGCTCAAGGGCCAGCTGTGGTCCATTCACAGCCCCCATGATACTACTTTGCTTCCCCAAGGCCCAGCGAATCTAATGGCCTCCACTGGCATGGTGAATCAGGGCTTCCCTTGTCTGTGCGGCTGGCCAGGCCGAACTTAACCTCTCTGCTGCCTTCCTCCCTTCCAGCCTGGGGAGCTCCCGACGGATCCTCTTCAACGTCTCCAGAGAAGACATGGAATGGGATGAGGAGCTCTTTGCGCTGGAGCCGCTGGCAGCTCCCGGGGAGGACTACTTCGAGACGGAAAACCCCAAAGGGCAGTGGCTGCTTCGGGAGCGACTCTGGGAGCGGACAGTACCCTGACTCACTCAGCCTTCAGCTGGGCTCAGGCTGGGTCCCCGAGAAGGTGTCTGCTTCCAGCACAGAAGAATGGGGTGATGGGTGGAGTTTTAAAAATGACAACCATAACAAAGTCAAGTCCATGAGCACAGTGCTGATGCCCAGTTAGTGCCAATCATGCCCACAGCCTCCCAGAGGACTTGCCTTTCGAGCCTGTGGCAGGTGAGCTGGGAGTGACAGCCTGGCTGGTCTGGAAGAGCTGGAGGAATGGACGGCCTTGCATGGGAGTGTGCAGGCTTGCTCCCCGGCCTCCCTGCCTGTTCCCAGCTCTCCATGCATCTGCCAGTGTCATGCTTCATACAGGAAATAAACTCACCCAGGAATTTCTGGGCCAAAGTTTTTGAAGAGGAAGTTTCTCTCTCTGGGCTCAGAAACACTCTTGGGTACGCACTGAGGTCGCCCATTTTGGTGCAGAATGTGGTTTAAGAAGTAGCTCCCTTCACTCTAACCCTTTTCACAATGTTCTGAAAACTTCAGCTAAATTAGGCTAAAGATGAGTGCACTGCCCTGGCAGTGGAATGGGAGAGACTGTTGGGCGCTGTCTGCAGACCATGCATCTCCCTCAGGCCCAGACTCAGCGTCACTTCGCAAGGCATTTGGCTGGCGAAGGAGAGGAACAAAGTGGCTTTTTTCCCCCTAATTCTCATCCAGAAAATTCTCACAGGTACCCACGCAACCAGGTTCCAACAGGTTATCTCTCTCCCTTTCCTCAATTAAGAGGGCAATCAGGATCATTAAGTTATTTTGGACTAGAAACGATTTCTGTATTTTAGCAACTATTTGAATCAGAATTACAATTTAAGTGTATCCCTTGCAATTCTCATATACTTTTTGCATTTTCGTATATGCTTATGTATGCCTAACTTTGAGAGCCATTGGTTTAGAGAGTACACCACACTTTGTCAATACTCACCTATTGTTTTACCGTTGTTAAAAAATTTTATTGAATTTATTGGGGTGACATTGGTTAATAAAATCATGCAGGTTTCAGGCATACAATTCTTTATCTGTATATTGTATTATGTGTTCACCACCCCAAGTCAAGTCTCCTGTCACCATTTATCCCCCCTTTACCCTCTTCTACCTCCACATACCCCCTTTTCCCTCTGGGAATCACCATGCTGTTGTCTGTGCCTCTGAGTTCTTTTGTGGTTGTTTAATCCCTTCCCCCCAAACCCTGTCTCCTCTGACAGCTGTCAGTCTGCTTTTTTATATCTATGAGTCTGTTTCTATTTTGTTTGTTTATTTTTTTCATTAGATTCCACATATCAGTGAAATTATATAGCACTTGTCTTTTTCTGACTGGCTTATTTCACTTAGCATAATGCTCTCCAGGTCCCTCCATGCTGTCTCAAAGGTTAAGATTTCCTTCTTTTTTTATGGTCAAGAAGTATTCCATTGTGTGAACGTACCACAGCTTTTTTATCCATTCATCTACTGATGGGCACTTGGGCTGCTTCCAAATCTTGGCTATTGTAAATAATGCTGCAATGAACATAGGGGTGCACATATTCTTTCGATTTAGTGTTTTGCGTTTCTTCAGATATATTCTCAGAAGTGGAATTGTTTCATTTTCAATTTTTTGTGGAAATTCTATGCTGTTTTCTACAGTGACCACACTAACTGCATCACCACCAACAGTGTGCAAAGGTGCCCTTTTCTTCACATCCTCGCCAACACTTGCTGTTTGTTGATTTATTAATGATAGTCATTCTGACAGGTGTGACTATCATTGTGGTTTTAATTTGCATTCCTCTGATGAGTGACATTGAGCATCCTTTGATCATTTGATATGTCTATTAACCATCTGTATGTTGTCTTTGTTTTTTTGTTTTTTTTCTTTTGTTAATCCTCACCAGAGGATATTTTTCCATTGATCCTCAATGTGAGAGAGACATACTGATTGATTGCTTCCTGCATGGGGTCAGAGACAGGGATCAAACCTGCAACCCAGATACATGCCCTTGACCTGGAATCAAACCCACAACCTTTAGGTTTGTGGACTGACTCTCTAACCACTGAGAAAAACCAGCCAGGCTGTATGAGTTTTTTAGAGAAGTGTCTATTCAGTTTCTCTGACCATTTTTTAATTGGATTGTTCATTTGTTTTTTTGTGTGTTGAATTTTATAAGTTCTTTATAAATTTTGGTTATTAACCCCTTATTGATGTATCATTGGCAAATATCTTTTCCCATTCAGTGGGTTGTTTTTTTATATTGTTGATGGTTTCTTTTGCTGTGCAAAATCTTTTTAGTTTGATGTAGTCCCACTTATTTATTTTTTCTTTTGTTTACCTTGCCCAAGGAGACATATCAGAAAAAAATATATTGCTAGGAGAAATGTCTGAGATTTTACTGCTTATGTTTTCTGGTAGAATCTTTATGGTTTTGAGTCTAACATCTAAGTCTTTAATCCATTTGGAGTCTATTCTTGTGTATGATGTAAGACGGTGGTCTAGTTTCATTTTTTGCACAGAATACTACTCAGCCATAAAAAATAAGGAAACCTCACCTTTTGTGACAATATGGATGGATCTGGAGAGTATTATGCTAAGTCAAATGAGCCTGTCAGGAAAAGACAGGCACCATATGATCTCATTTATATATGGAATCTAATGAACAAAATAAACAAACAAATGAAAGAGAAATAGACTGATAGATACAGAAAACTGATTGACAGCTGTCAGGGAGGGAGGTTTGGGGGCTGGTTGAAACAGGTGAAGGGATTTAAGCAAACAGGCAAATACAAAAGTTCATAGACCCAGACATCAGTATAGTGATTACCAGAGGGAAAGGGGGTGGGGGAGCTGAAAGAGGATAGGGGGGATAAATGGTGACAGAAAGAGACTTGACTTTGAGTGATGAACACACAATATACAAATGATGAATTACAGAATTGTACACGTGAAACCTATATAATGTTATTAGCCGATGTAACTCCAATAAATGTAATTAAAAAAGAAGTCATCGGTGGGGTGGGTGCATGCCCATGAATGCAAGAGTGCTAAGTAGGCATGAGGGAGGTACACAGTCTAGGAAAAACCAGTAACCCTAACTAAGCCAAGGGTGCTCTAGGCTAAGGTTACTCTTGGACTAAATACAGCTTCTTTTTGCCAGGTCCATGTGATGATATTCTTATTACTCAGTATTTTAAGAAAGAACCTTATATTTATGTGAACCTGATAACCCAAATCTAAGCATTTATAACTTCTATAGAAAAAATGCTAATAATTATGTGGCCTTCTTATAAATTTTATATCAACACATTTTCAGCATGAAATTATACTGGAAATGTTTTAATACTTGCTTTTATTATTTTTTGAGTGCCAATGTCAATGTCTGGGAAGTTTCTTTCATTTGTTGCTTATACTAAGCCCACTATAGCCAGAAGCTTCATTGAACAATAAATGTTTGGGAGATTTGTTTTATAAACTACTTCAATACACACCAAGTTAACATCACTGTGTGTCTTTCTTTCCCTTAAACGTGGCTTTGTTTTGAAGCCCACAAATAAAAGTTCACTGCTGAGGGTAAACTCAGAATGAAGGTCTCTTTACTCTGCCTCTTATCAAACTACAGGTAATTACAGATGGACCTGACATTATGTGGTGAAGACACTGTATACATTTTACTTTTACAGATAAGGAAGAAATAAACATGACAGAGAGGATGCTTGGAGTCTTGATTTTTTTTTTAAGTGTTTATTGCTGTGGGACATGAAGCTGTGTTTTTCATGTTTCCTTCATGTTTTGTATATTTTTGTCTTTAATGAGACAGACTGCCTAAAGAATTTCATGATTCAGAAACGTAAGGATGGCTTGTCATTGGGATGATTTTAGGTCTTTGACGTTGGTGATAAACCCCAGGATCTGGGCTCTGCCTGCGGAATCATGATATGGTGCGCGCTGGGGTTTGAGATAAATGAGTCAGTGAATGGAAATAGCTGACTTGGTTGATTTGTTTTCCCCTTTGAAATGACCAGTTATTTGATCAGCTGGTCCTGGGGGCACTATGTTAGTAGCTCTAGTTTTCCCAGAACTATCTCAGTTTTGATATATAAAAACCTGGACAGAATGTTCAAAAGAAGGATGAGCCCTGACCAGTTTGACTCAGCGATTAGAGCGTCAGCCTGTGGTCCAGGGAGACCTGGGTTCGGTTCCCGCTAAGGGCATGTACCTCGGTTGCAGTTTGTCCTTGGCCCTAGTTGGGTTGTGCGGGTGGCGGCCACTCGATGTGTCCCTTTCACATTGATGTTTCTCTCTCTTCCTCTCTCTCCTTCCCGCTCTATCTGAGCAAAAAACAAAAAAATGTCCTCGAGTGAGGATAAAAAATAAATAAAAATAAAAGAAGGATGAGTCGCAGGCACCTGACTTGTTCTTTAGCCCTTGGTTTCTAGCTTCCACCACAAAATGTCTTCTCCCTCATGGAAGAAGACACATGAGGGCCTTTAGTTATCAGCCCTTTCTCTGGACGTGGTGCCTGCTCTTGGACACCAGAGGGCTCTAACAGGAGCTCCTTCTCTTCACCTCTGCTGGCTTCACATGGTGGGGTAGCTTCCTGTTGCTGCTGCAACAAATTATCACAAATTTAGGGGTTTATACAACACAGATTCATTCTTTTATAGTCTAGAGGTGAGAAGAAGGAACATCAGTCTCACTAGAAGCCAAGGTGTGGGCAGAGTGGGCATCTTCCGGGGGCTTTGAGGAGGGAGTCGATTTCCTTGCCTTCTCCAGCTCCACGCGGCTGCCTGGTTCCTTGGCTTGTGACTCCTTCCTCGCATCACCCCGACCTTTCGTTTCTGTTGTCACATCTCCAACTGCTCACTCTGATTTCCTGCATTCTTCTTACAGGGACCTTTGTGATTACATCAGCCCCGCCTGGATAATTCAGGCTAATCACCCATCTCAATATCGGTAATTTAATAAAACCTGCAAAGTCCTTTATGCCATATGAGGGAACTTTCTC